TAAACATTATCAAATGTGTAGTAAAATTGTGAAATTCTAAAACTTTTACTTTTCTAATTGATACCTCTTCTGACATACATTACATACACATACAAACATACATACATACATATACACACATACATAATCATTAATTGCTATAAAATTTTGAGGTTAATTAGCAAAAAAAAAAAGATTTAATTAATATAAATATTTTATTAATTAACTTTTATTAAGTAAGCATAAAGAGAATTAGGTAATACTAAATGAGAGGAACAGTTGTTCAAGTGAAATTTTATTGAAATTTCTTCCTCTAAAAACTTTTCATTTAGCAGTTTAACAATATTTTTGTGCAAAAATACATATTATATATTAAATTTCAAGTAAAATTTGATGTTTTTTTTTTTACTAAAGTGAAATTTAACAAATTTTAATATAAAATTTTTTGAATAATTTTGAAAATGCAAATCAAATTTTTACAATGTAGATTTTTCTTCATGCATTTCGGATAGTTTTAATTTAAAGTAATTTTTTAAGTATTATTGTTGCTATTATTACCTTGTCCAAAAACTAGGAAAGAAAAAGAGAAAAAAGAAAGTTAATTAATACATAAATAATGAATAATGATTAGTTAATTATTAAATTCAATTAAAAATTTATTTAAAAATTAATTTATGAATTATTCTATTTGCTTATTTTTTTTGCTTTTAATTTTTTTTTTCAAAATATAAAGTTTTATTTGTATACAAATATTACTTATCAATATTGCGTAGTAAAAATGATTTTAATTTTTCATTGTAATTTAATAAGAAAACAACAATTATATTAAATTAACTAATAATGGACTAATTAATATTATATATTCCAATATATCATTGTTTCTTGTTCTCCAAATTCTTTCATTTAAAAATAATTTGAAATTTTTAATTTATAAATGAGTTATAGCATTTGAAATTTAATTTAATAAAAATAAGAGAGAAATGGTTGGTTTAATTAAGCAAATACTAGCAGAATTGAAATTTCACCGATTATTGCTTCATTTCAAATTTTATCACTGCAAATTTTCCTCTTCTAAAATGTTTGATTAAAATGCTTAATGAGATGGTATTATTGATCGATTAAAATGCTCTAATAATATGATATTATTGATTGACTATTAATAACTGATTAAAATACTTAATGAGATGATATTATTGATTGATTATCAATAATTGATTAAAATGCTTAATGAGATGGTATTATTGATTGATTATCAATAACTGATTAAAATGCTTAATGAGACAATATTATTGATCGATTAAAATGCTCTAATAATATGATATTATTGATTGATTATTAATAACTGATTAAAATGCTTAATGAGATGGTATTATTGATTGATTATCAATAACTGATTAAAATGCTTAATGAGATGGTATTATTGATTGATTATCAATAACTGATTAAAATGCTTAATGAGACAATATTATTGATCGATTAAAATGCTCTAATAATATGATATTATTGATTGATTATTAATAACTGATTAAAATACTTAATGAGATGATATTATTGATTGATTATCAATAACTGATTAAAATACTTAATGAGATGATATTATTAATTGATTATCAATAACTGATTAAAATACTTAATGAGATGATATTATTAATTGATTATCTATCTCTAGTATCCATTGATCTCGTATATCATTGATCTTTGAATGAATTATATTTCATTAAATTTCCAGTAATGATATTCAAATTTGTTTCTAAAAAGAAATTCACAATTTTATATTTGAATTACTTCCATTTTCATATTAAATTACATATTTCATTTTTTAGAGCTTAATTTTATCAACATTTTTTTCAGGAAACCAAAAAAAAAAAATACGCATTATTAGTTTCATATTTAATGAAAAAAAATAAATGAAAAGAAAGAAGTTGGATTGATTTTTTTTTTGTTGGAAATACTAAAATTAATAAGAAATAATTTAATTTAAAAAAAAAAGATTAAAAAAATGATTTATACAAAATTTAAAATAATGTAGAAAAGAGAAAACAACAAAATTATAATCTATTAAATTCAGAATTGAAGAATTAAACATTATTTATTTCAGTATTCTTTTCAGTCATTTAGTGATTTATAAAAAAAAATTCCCCGAATTTATGAATAAAACTTTGACATAATCATCATTTTACATCTTACCATCCGGATTTTATCACGATAATATCATCCGGTTTGATTGATCCCAAATGGAAGTATAACTTTTGTTTTATCAGTAATAGAATCCTTGCTGTGATATTGGCCTGAAATTTTTGAGCCAAGGGACATTTGAATATTGAATGATAATTTTAACCTTAAACGTTTCGCAAAATATTGGATAAAAATTTTTTTTTGATTTTGGTTTAGGAAAATTTTCAAAAAATTTTATTTTTTAAATTATTGTTTTAAATTTGGAAATATGTTCAAAGTATTCATTTAGTAACTGAAATTCATTGTGTAGATATGATATAATTTTGAAAAAAAGCGACAGAAAAGATTGAAGAATGAAAAGGAAAAGTTTCATCCTGAAATCAGTAATGATAAGCTAATGATAAGGTACAATTAAAATAATCATTTAAAGTTACTTAATTTCAATACTGATCAATTCCGGCAATCAATTCCGACACTAACAATATTTTGATAGTATGGCAGAGTAATACTTAAAATATATAACAAATTTGGCTCCGATTTGTTATCCAAATGCGAAAGATTAAAATTAAAATTTAATTTTAATTTGAGTACAATTTAATATTCATCATTCTTTGGACAATCGATTTGATCCTTTCTGTACTTCTCGATACTATGTTTGTAATTCCAGAAAATGTTATTCGTGAAGTACTTGAAGTTCAAGCATAAAATTCTGGATCCGGTGAATTTTTTTTCTGCTATTTGAAAATTAGTAATTACAATCTATTTAAATTACTTAAATTGAAATCTATTCATCTATTTAAATTGAAATCATAAGATTAAATGTACTGTTCTGTAACTTCTAATTAAAGGTAAATTTTTGAGATTTCAAATTTTTAAAAAAAGAGATTTCAAAAAATCAAATTTCAAATTAAATTTCAATATATAATATTTTTTGTTGAAATGATTAACTAAAATAGTGCATTTTTTACAATGTAAAAGTAAAAAGTAATTACTTTTATTGATAGCAATGTCTATTGGAATGGAATGAATCAGTAAGGTAAACATATGTTAACTGCTAACTTACCTTTGTTCGATATTACAAGTAAATATACTTAAGTATTTCATTTCCTTCTTCTCTTCAATTTCACTTCGAATACACTTTACCTTTGCCATTACATTCAACAATTTTGTTTTTATGTGAAATTGACAATGTAATCATAAGATATTGGTACAATTTTAATTTTAAATTGTTATTTTTTTTTGAAAAAATTACTTTTTAATTTAAATGTTAATCTAATTAATAAATATTTTTAAAAAAAAAATTGATGATAAAAAAAGATAACAAAAAAATGATAAATAATATTAGTTAAACAATTAATGAAACTAAATTATTTCTCTATTTACAACAATTCATAACTTACATATTTGTTCCTCCTTGTATAAAAATTTTTGAAATTTTTAAACAAATAAAATTTACATCAAAGATTTTTTTTTGTAATCTGAAAGAAAAAAAAAATTATTGAAGAAGAAAGAAGAAAATGAAAACCAGTCAAGTGGTACCTTTTCATTTCATTCCTTTTCTTTCATCGTTTAACTTTTAGACAATCTTAAAATTTTTTTCTCGCTATTAGATTCATTCATTTTTCTAAACTTATTGAAATATTTTTGATAATTAATACGGAATGAATATACAATTTTAATGATTTAATGATAAAATAAGTGATATTAACTTTCAATGGCTTTTAATTTAATTTCAATTTTTGTTTATTAAAGTCGAAAGTTTATAACTTATTGCTTTTTCTGATTATTAAGGTCAAAAGTTTATAACTTATTGTTTTTTCCATTTATTAAGGTCAAAAGTTCATAACTTATTGCTTTTTCTGATTATTAAGGTCAAAAGTTTATAACTTATTGCTTTTTTCTGTTTATTAAGGTCAAAAGTTCATAACTTATTGCTAAGTTCAAAAGTTCATAACTTATTGCTTTCTCTGATTATTAAGGTCAAAAGTTCATAACTTATTGCTTTCTCTGATTATTAAGGTCAAAAGTTCATAACTTATTGCTATGGTCAAAAGATCATAACTTATTATTTTTTATGATTATTAAGGTTAAAAGTTTGTAACTTATTGTTTTTTGATTATTAAGGTCAAAAGTTCATAACTTATTGCTTTTTCCGATTATTAAGGTCAAAAGATCATAACTTATTGCTTTTTCCGATTATTAAGGTCAAAACTTCATAACTTATTGCTAAGGTCAAAAGTTTATAACTTATTGCTAAGGTCAAAAGTTCATAACTTATTGTTTGAATCTTTTATGTTTGGTGTTTAAATCTAAGAATTTTATAATTATGCACCAAATCTTTATATTATTACTACTATTATTATATTAATTTTTTCTTTACTTTTTATTATTTCGAATTTTGACGACATCATTGTTAATTTTAATAAATAAACAACGCTTTCAATAAAAATTTCAATTTCAAATTTTATTATTGAAAAACAAAAAGCATTCCTATAATTACCTTTTAATTTAATTTATTGAGTACTGAGTATAATTACAATATCAAATTTTATTTTATCCAAGTAGTAAGTGTCATATTTTCAAGTAAAAATTAACTAATTTCATTGCATTTTTTTTTCTGATTATTACAATCAAAAAGTTAGCAAAATTGTTGTTTTTTTTTTTTTGTTCAAATTTTGTAAAATGTTTTTTTTTGCATTTATTTATGTTAATTATTAATTAACTAATTAATTTATTTATTTACTTATTAATTTGTTTGTGTTTGTTCTGCTCGATTTAATTAATTAATTAATTGTTCGTACTATAACTATTTAGTGCTTGATGAAATCAACCTGAAACGGTCAATTATGTTTGGTACATCGTTTTTTGTTGCAACTTGTTTATACTTCAAAAGTAAACATAGCTATGCTTACGATAACATCAGTAAACAATCCAGAAGGAACGGAACGTATCACAAATATTTTGAAATTGATAATTCGAACGAGGAAACAAATCGATCGATGAGTGTTAGCTACGCTGATAACAACGATAATTATTACTCTAATTCTGAAAAATGTCATATACCTAAAAAAGTATTCCGGAAAATGGAAAAAATTCCGGAAAAAGAGCAAAAAAAATCAATAAACATAGAAAATATACATATACCAAAGAAAATTAACAGACCAATGCTTAAAATTCCATCAGAATTATGCAATGATCAACAATCATCATCATCACATGCTGGAAATCAGGAATCATCCTCAACATTACCAGTAACCGATAGTGAAAAATTACATGAAACAACTCCGGAAACTGGATCAATTCGGAAAAAACGATTTCTAAATAGACTAGCAATAATATCAGTCAAAAAAATGAAATCACTGATGAAAGAAGCAAATCAGGAAAATATAAATTATTCATCCGTACTAACCGTAACACCTAAAATAGGAACTGTAGAATTAGGAAAGGATGAAATGGAATTTATAGATGCAGATGGTGATGATCCGGATTGTTGCAGGAATAGAAGAAATACGATGAAACGTGGCTTCCGGTATCTTTTCAATCAGGAAAAAACCAATAACAAGTAATAATAATTATTGTTTTTTTTTTTTATTCAATTAATTAAATTAATTTTATTGTTAAAATTTTAAAACAATTTTATTTCATTTTTTTTTTTTTTTAAATGGTCAATATTGATTGCTATTTTCTTTTTTTCTTTAGCAAAAATTTTTCATAAATTAAATTTAACAGTTAATATTACTAATTAATTATATTGATATAGAAAATTATAAAAATTTTTATATAAAATTTAAAAAAAAAAAAATTATAAAATTTATGAAAAAAAATGACGAGAAAACAGAGATGATGATAGTGATGATATGGGAGTGGAACAAAAACGTGGATTTTTCAGGTAAATATTTTTTTCCGTTTTTTTTTCTAATACGGAAAATGAATTAATATTTAAATTCATAAAAAAAGTTCTTTTTTTTTTCTAATGCAAAAGACAAGTTAATATTTAAATTTATAAATTTTGTAAGAAAAATATTTTAAGAATTTTTTTTTTTATAAATCCAGAAATTTTTCCGTCCACCAAGTTCACGGTCATTAGCCGATGATGAAGGAACAAGTACAGATCCGGAACGAAGGCTTTTGTTACACGATGATGACGGATATGCTGTAATTGATAGGCAACAACAACATGAACTTGTTATTTCTGTTGACAAAGAGAAACGTGAAAGTAACTACTTTTATTACTTTTTATTTTTTTTTTATTGCTAAGCTATTTACACGTAAATTTCAACGTATACGTACGTGTTCGACAATATGTTTAACAAAAAATTGAAATAAATCTAAATTTCATTGTTACTTAGAATAAATAAATGTAAATATTTTAAGGAATAAATTAATTTCATATAATTTTTATATTAAACTTATAAGATCTAGAAAATTTAGCATTTGAAATTGAAAAAGAAAAAAAAATTTTATAATTGAATAATTGAAAATTAAATATAACAAAAAAGATGTATAAATGATATCATTTGTTAAAAAAATAAAAAGTTAATAATTTAAATAGTGAAATATTATAGTGTCAGCACCAGTGTCACCAAAAAGTGTCACATTTGAGGATGAATTGTTTACAACAACAACAACAACAATATCAGGACGACGTGGTCAAAGTTTGGCACCACCACATTTTTAACCACTCCAACAGGAACAACAATACCATCACAACAAGCATTCATCAATTTTAATTATGATGTATCACCAATTTCAGGAATGAATTCTAGGAATGATTTACCTAAAAGCAATTTATCTGATCGAGAGCACTTTTTTGTTTTTATTTTGTTTGTTTTTTTTTAATCTTTATTTTGCCTTCAAAATAAATATACAACAAAAAAATTAGCACTTATTTTAAAATACATTCATTCTATTATTGATAATTTATTATATTTATACTTTATCTAAAATATGTCACCAAATATGTCACCAAAAATGTAAAAATTACAGTCACCAACACGTTCAAGTCGTGATGCATCATTAGCATTAGATGAAGCCACTCATGATTTATTACGTCTTTCTTCACAGCCACCAGATATTTGGTATAGCAGTAGTTCACGTCCGCTGCATGCATCCGATCGCATCCCAAAATCTGCATCTACTACATCAATGAATAAAGTTATTAGGGCAAAGGTTAAAATTTTTTTCTAATATTTAACATATTGAAATTTAATTTATAACTTTTAAAGATATTAACTTTAATTGATATCAATTAGAAGTGCTATTTGTAAAAACTTTACTTTACTGCAAAAACTTTACTTTGCTGTATATTTGTGTTTATTCGATCGTTACAATAAATAATACTTTAATTTGTTAATGATTGCATAATTAAATTATAAAATAATAAAATTAAATTATAGGATGGTGGAATGATGAAATTATTAAATGCTTTTTCATGGGATAGCAATCGATTAAGTGATCTTGGTCCTACTGATACATCAGCATATACTGATGAAGAAGGACGGCGACATCAAACAGTTACCGTTTATACTAATCAAAAAAGGTTAATCAATTTTGCATCTATTTAACTTCACTTGTTCATTCCATTCATTTGCAAAGTTGAAATTTGCTTATAACTCTTTGAATAAAATTAAGTTGAAATTTACTTCATAACTCTTTAAGTGAAATTAAGTTTGAAATTTACTTTGTAACTCTTTAAATGAAATTAAGGCTGAAATTTACTTCATAATCTTTGAATGAAATTAAGTTGGAACTTACTTCATAACTCTTTGAATGAACTGAGGTCGAAACTTACTTCATAATTCTTTGAATAAACTGAAGTTAAAATTTACTTTGAATAAAATTAAGGTTGAAATTCACTTCATAACTTTTTTAAATGAATTTAAGTTGAAACTTACTTCATAAATCTTTGAATGAAATTGAAGTGAAACTTACTTCATAATTCCTTGAATAAACTAAAGTTAAAACTTACTTTGAATAAAATTAAGGTTGAAATTTACTTCATAACTTTTTTAAATGAATTTAAGTTGAAACTTACTTCATAAATCATTGAATGAAATTGAACTGAAACTTACTTCATAATTCTTTGAATAAACTAAAGTTAAAACTTACTTTGAATAAAATTAAGGTTGAAATTTACTTCATAACTTTTTTAAATGAATTTAAGTTTTGAATGAAATTAAGATTGAAATGAACTTTATTTCTTCTCTAAAACTCATAATTATAATGTTTACAGAAAAGGACCACCAATCATTCGAACAACAGTGGAAGGCAAATTAAAAATGGAAAAAGTTGTTGGGGCAGATCTTATATCTGTTGAGCATTGTACATGTAGTGCATGGACAATACATGATACTATTACTCATTATAAAGTATTCTTTCATATTTTTGTATTTGTTAATTAAATTTAAACTTTAAAAATAATAAATTAATCTTTTTGTTATTCATTCAAGAATATATTAAATAATAATGCTACTTTTAAAGTTTTTTATTTTGTAAATTTATTTATTTGCTTTTTTTTTTCTTGTTGTTGTTGTTCTTGTTTTACAATATTTTAAATAAATTAATTGATAGTAATTTTATTTTTACAGGTAAAAACTACATTAGGAAATCGTACAATAATTATGGAAGACGAATCAACGAATGATAAAAATCGCGATGGAAGTTTCAAAATGAGTTTTTATGAAAATGATCAATTAAAAACACGAGATAATGCTGATTTTCAAATACCATCGAATGTAGTTAGTGTTAATTTATTGTTTAAATAAAATAAAATGAATTAGCAAAGAACTAATCAAATTAATCAATTCATATCATTTTTTTTAAAAATTTAAATTATAATTTTAACATTTCTTTTTTCGAATGTTAATTATTACATATCAAATATGTTGTAGAATGATTGATTAATTCAAATATCGTATTTAAATGTGTGAAAAAAAAGAAAACAAAGTCAATCTAATTTATTATTTAAGTCATAAATTTATCACATTAAAATAAAATGAATTAGTAAAAACTAAAAGTGAAAACTAATTAGTAATGAAATAGTAAAAACTAGTCGAATTAATCAATTCTTATCACCTTTTTTGAAAATTTAAATTACAACTTCAACACTTTTTTTTAGAATGTTAATTATTATATATCAAATATGTTATAGAATCAAATTCAACTATCATATTTAGATGTAAAAAAGAAAATAAACAAATAAACAAATAGAAAATTCTACACTTTTTTGAAATAAAAATTTAAATAAAAAAATTTTGCATTTTCAGGATAAAGCTAAATATTTGTCATTGCTAAGTCAACGATTGTTGCATGATATGGAAATGTTAAATCAACATGATGAAAAGAAAACAACAACAACAACAACAACAGCAAACACGAGTTGAAGTAGAAGTAATTGAGAATGTGACAAAAATTCTAAAAACATATTATTGGACAGCGAAATGATTTTCTTCAAGATTTCTCGATCGATCAAACAACAATTAATACAACGGATGATGAATTATCACATAGCAATTATGAAATGATATCATTATCAGAAAATTTTGATGAGACGAAAATGCTAAAAAATGAAGCAATAATTAATCAATCATCATCTGATATTAAATTTCTTGTTGAAGGTCATCAATATAAAGGTCATTCTGAAATACGACGACGACGACCTTATCAACGAACTAATTCAGATGTAACGACAACATCAGAAAGTCTGAATGACAAATATATATTATTACCTTCTATTTATACTAATTTAGAATGTAATTTAAAACGTATGGAAGATCATTCATTTATTGAAGTTAACGTTGCAGTACCAAACGTTTTCTCAGCTGTTTTATCATTAATACGTGAACGTATTATTTCACAATTACCAAATCTTGTTAAATATGGTATAGAGCAACACGGAAAACAATATTCCGGTGAGACAACTATTCGACGTATACAACATTTCGACTCAATTGAATCAATCGATGAAAAAATGATGATTAATAATCAAAAAGAGCCAAGTTTTTTGTTCGAAAAACCACAAATAATTGAACCGGTGAAAATTCCTGTTTTAAATATTACAGAATTGGATTTACGTCGAATGGCTGATACATCAGCAATTTTAGCAAATTTTGCTATTCCACGTATTGATTATAATCAATTAAATATTGAAAAGTCATATGAATTTCATGAAGCAAAAGGTAGCAGTTATGGTATGCAACAAAAAGGACAATATTTTGAGGGTGAAATGATTTTAAAAACGACAAATTTTATTGGAATCAGAATCAGCTTCAGATGATGAACTTACCAGCTGTGGTTCAACATATTTAAATTTGATGAAGCAAGAAGCACGTGGTGAATTTGAAGTTGCAATAATTATTTCAAATGATCAACGTAGCTCACCAAAACATTTTCAACAAAGTCAACCAATTGAATTTATTAATTTAATCACACAAGTTAGCACTGATGGTAAAAAAGAAGAGGTAGTTGCTACACTTGCAACAAGAATTATTTCTAAGGAAATATTTATAATACAAGAAATGAGTGCTGTAATTAGTAATGCAATTATAACAATTCAAAAATCAATTAATCTGGATGATATTTTCCAGCATAATATTTGCTGTTGGAATGATAAAATAATTCATCGAGAATTTGCTAAATTCTTGGCATCCAGTGAGGAAGAGGCACAAATTTATTTGAAATTTATTTCATCTACTATTGCATGTCAAAATGTGTGCTGCATTCGTGCAATACCAAATTTATTGCATATGACATTCACTGCTGAAATATTCCAATCAGCAAATGAAACAGTGGTAATTTATATGCAAAATAAATTTGCTACCACAATAATGATGTCCTGTGATGACGTACGTCAAATTTCACGATTGTCCAGTGGACATATGCTAAAACAAAAGCTACTACAGAAGAAGCAACAATAATTATGCTAAGTATTGGATGTATTAGTAAATATGCTAATACGCTTATGACGGAATTTATCGTAAAAGACGCACACAAATGCAAAGTTAATCTTTGCTCACGAGCTAGTCATGAAAGTGAACGTATTTCAAACGTATCATTGAATCGAAGCACAAAAATGCTAGCTACAACTATACGATTATTGGAACGTATAAAACGGAAAGAACAGCTAACAGTCACAGAATTTGGTGATGAAAATGAACACGTAGCTATTCTGTTACAACGTGCAGGTATCACGCATGGTCAAGTGCAACGTGAATGGCCTGAAGCAGTGACAGGTAGGTCAAATATCATTTCTACTACTACTACTACTATTACTACTTCTTCTACTATCACTACTACCAATACATTTAATATTTTTGAATTGCTCACCAATTCTTTTGGTGCTATTGCCAGCACTAATTTTTTAATCACTAATTTAACAAATATAAATACAACAACTAAACATTTTCATTTATTCAATTTTAAAACTATTTTACCAACTTACGGTAAAGCACATAAAATTATTCCCTTAATTATCACTACTACTACTTCTATGAATGTTTCAATCAATGACACATAATCAAAGATTCGAGAAATTTTCATAAAGTGCTAAAGTTGAAATTGTAAATGAATTATGTCACTTTGATGAAATAAGTGATGGCTAAAATTAGCAGATATTTGATACTTTTTGGCTATCTTTTGTACGCTTACTTATACAGATGAGATAAGCATTAAGGTAAAATGACAATTCAATTGGTCATTTAGTAATTTAAGCGATGAAATGAAATAAAAAAGGCTTATCATCATTATCATTGCTTACAATGGATGCAACAAAATGAAATTGAATTATCATTTTTTACTGATAATCAACATAGAATATGAGCAATCATCTACACAAACAATTTTAAATGTGGAGAAATCATCTCAAATTATAGATGCGGATGAAACTAAGACAGATGGCGCAAATGATATAAATGAAATGTTATCAGAACATGAGCTTCGAGTGATACCTATTAAATTGATTTCAACTATGAATTCAAATAATATAAATGATAGAAAAAAGCATACAAAAGAAGAAGAGGAAGAAGAACAACAATGGAATACAAAAATTAATTTCATTAATTCATCATCTCATGGAAACAGTTCTTTGTCATTGCTCGATGATATCGACTCAAATAGAATAATTAATCATTCATACATAAGTGATAACTTCAAAATGATGGAAATTTCCGATATATCAAATTCCAATTTGCAAAATGTGTCAGAAAATGTAAATCGATGGAAAGAATCAATATCACAAGACAACAATAAAGTTGATAAAACAACAATGAAATTTAAAAATGATACGAAGGAATTTGAATATGAACGAATACATTTGCAAGAATTTCCATCCGAGCAACAAAAGCTGTACATTTCTCGACAAGGAAAAAATGAAGAAAAACACGCAGAAAATGGAATTCAATTTGAATTTAATAATAGAAATGAACAAAGAGATAAAATTGAAGAAAATGATGAATTGAAGAGAAATTTCTATAATAATACAAGTGAAACACGTGTTGCAATGCTTAATGCTGGTTTTAATCTTGATACGACATTACTTGCGACACCAGAACGTGAAACGCAATTTACTTTCGTAAGAGATCGCAGTATAACAACAAGTGAATATTTCTCAGATGAACAAAGTTGGAGTACTACAATCACAGAATCATATTATCGACAGAAACAAACTCATATCGAACAAATATCAAAATCAGTTGGTGATTTACTTGAATCATCGTTGGAAGAGAATTCTGAAGCATTTTTCGATGAAATAAGCCATATTTCAGATGCTACATGTAATCGTATGAAACATTCCGAAATGGTAAATTCAGAAAAAATGAATTTACATATGACACATTCGTTGACCAATAGTCTTGAAGCAACTGCATTAAAAGAATTTCTCGTAGCAACCGATGATGAATATGATGCTATTCCGGAATTATGCAAATATGATGTTAAAGTTGGAAAATCGGAACAGTATGAATCATCATCTATATTCGTAACCGGAAATCATGTAAGCGAAACAACGGAAACATCAGTTATGAGAAAGGAAAATGAAAATTACGAAAATGTAAATGAATCAAATGAAAAACACTTAACAACATTTTGGGAAATACCTGAAAGAAATATTCAAACTCAGATTCCATCATCGATAAATGTCGAATGTGAGAATGAAATATTTCAAGAAACAATTGCTAGCACTACAAAAACTAACGAAACCATTGAGCATATGATATTAAAACCGGTAAACATAACCGTATTTGACACCAGAACAGAAATTTCAAAAATACAAAAGCAAAAATTAGATGATAATATTAGTGAAATTGATTATTGTCAAACAGCTTCACAACCTTTTCTTGTATCAGTTAAAAAACAAGATGTAAGTCAAAATGATGCTATGACTAAATTTGATAAAATTAAAACATCAACTAAGGAAGCATGGAGTGAAAGTGAATCAGTAAACAATGAATTGTTTACTACCTTACAGGTATCAGACAATAAAAGAACATTTGAAGAGAGTAGCAATCAGATTAATTTCAATGAAAGGAACACTCGATTTGATGCTATTGCGCATTTTCCACCTAAATTTGCGCCAAATGAGAAAAAAATGATGGAAACAAAAATGATGCAAGAAGAGAAGAAAATTATAAAAGAATTTGAACAGATAGAAGAACAATTCGAAACTAATCGAAATATGGAATTGCTAGAAGAGATGAAACAATTAAAGGAAGAAATTGAAGAAATTGCAAAGATTGATCAGGAAATTGATCAGGAATTATTGATCAGGAATGAAAATGAAAAAATAGTAGAAATGAGAGAAGAAGTTTTATCTATACGTCAAATTATATCGAAAGATTGGAATTTTGGAAAATATGTAGAAACACAAATGGAAGAAAAGTTTAATCAAATTGAACATGAAAAGATTACTGATACAATTCAAATAGATCAAAACGTTCCGATTTCCACAAATTTAAATACAAATATTTTGAAATTAGAAATGGAAAAAGTTTCAGCAACTGAAAATGTTTACATTGAATGTAAATTAAGAAATTGTCATCAAACAACGTTGACAACGAATGGAAGAGAAGAAGAAGAAGAAGCAAAAGAAATAATTTATCAGGCAACTCAAAAAGAATCAATCAACAATTCTTTTAACTTCGTTGATTATCAGGAAACATTATCCGGAATAGAAGTTCACCTTTGTATTCCAGAATTTAACATAACAACAGAGAATTTTACATTTTCTGAAGAATACAGCAAACAATTATTGCATAAATTTGAGGAAAAAATGGAATATGTAGGAACGCTTAAAATGTCTAATATTGAAACTACAATAGCAAATATCAGAGAATATAATCAGGAATTAACTGATTCAAGTGATCTATATCAGCAGATTATAGTTCAGGAAATGGCTCAAGAATGTACCAGAATTATTGCTGATAAACTTATGATTCACGCAAGTGAAAATATTACGCAAAATATTACTTTATCTGATCAAATAGATCAATGGACGATTGTTCCGGAAGAGATGAATGTTCAAGAACGTATGAATTTGCAATCAATTTCTGAAAGTTTCATCACGCAACAGTCTACAATTTTAGAAAGCAATCGGAATAGTTTTCTGGAAATATCATCAAGTATCAAAAGTAATAGAACGGAGAATACATATGCTAAGTATCCGGAAACTGAACATGAGAATGAAGTATTAGCTATTGGATGGAATAAAGTTATAAGAAGAGCATCAACGGAAAAATTGATACCAATCGGAGAAACGCAAACGGAAAAGTTATCTACTATAGCAATTACGGAACAGAATGTTGAGTTTTCGGGAATGATTGGAAAAATGGACGATCATTTTGATAGTATTGAGCTAAAGCGCTCTTTGAAAATATCTACCACTGATGAAAAGCAATTAATGATAGCTTCTGAAAGTCGAGAATATTCTTTGCTTAAGAAATCTTCCGCTCAGGAATGCGGTAGTGTAATGCGAGATTTGGAAATTATTCAAATTAGCGCACATATTATGGAATATGACGCAGCGCAAACAGTAATTACAGGTTTCTTCGCAAAATTGGAACAGAAGAAAATAGCAGAAAAGTTGAAGTGCAACTTGCTACTTCAATAAAACTTAAAAGTTATTTTGACACAAAGTTTGCTAATTTCGAATCTGTCTTGTTGGATATACAATTAAAATGCAATCGTAATGCGGAATCGGCTGAAAGTTTTATTAGCATTGCGCAAAAACCAATTGTGAAATTCATTATAAATCTGAAAGGAACACTAATGAGTGTATTAAAAACACAAGTGGAACATATATCAAGCGTTGGACGTGTTTTTCCGGATGAGAAACGTGAAAGGACTTCTGTATGCATTCATGAATTTGATAATGAACATCAACAATATATGGCGCAATGGGATGAGAATGCGCTATCAGCTGAAGTATATGTAGAATTGAAAGAGATAACATGCAACGTTGATGCAATTAAGCAAGAAAATATTCAAATTAACAAGCAAATCGGAAAACCGGAATTTATGGAATTTACAAATGAAACAATTTCTCTTAAATTGCATGCATCTGAAATTGGTGAGTGGAGAATTGTTGAAGAAAACACTGAAACTGTATTCGAACAATTTGATGAACAAATAACTAATGAAACAATAAATATTACTATTGCATATTCTGAGAAGCAAATTGGATCTTTTCAAGAATTTAATTCTATCTCAACCGAAACTATTGTTCATTTTGCAAAAATTATGATGGAAAAAATTGAAAATTATGCAAGTGAAATATCAAAAAGAAGCATTAATCAATACTGGAAGGAATATTTGAATTTAGAAGCTAGTCGAGAATGCAACGAAAATTTGGAATTGGAACAATCATTGATAAAAATTGAACAAATTGAAATGATTAAACGTATTCTACGTGAAGTAAATGCTGAAAAAATTATTGCAAATATTGCTGCCTGTTCAGAAATTAACGAAACATATACAATGATATTTGATAAACAATCACAACAACAATCATTAAAAATTATTCAAAATGATATAAATCGAGAATGGATTCTCGATGAGCAAAAATATGTTGCACAAAATGAAGTAACAAAATTTGTAGATGCAATATGGAATACAATTGTGAACGATTCAAATATTGCTATTAATATTTGTGAATTTAACCGTGAGCAAATAACGCTTAATACTAAAGCTAGTGAGGAAATTTGTTTGGAATGTAAACAAATGCTTTATATGAAATCAGTTGATGAGAATGCCTTCGCACACTTTCATACAAACACCGCTGTTTCAGGCGGTGAAAGACAATTTAAAATAGAATGTAAAATGAATGAAAGCATTTTGGCACGTCAACAAGAAGAATTATTTGCTGAAAGTGTACAACAAAAAGCAATATTACATGCGGAAAATTTGACTGAATTCATAGCGGAAAGTACCGCAGTACAAGCAGATGCTGGAATTTTATTGATACGCCGTTCCGCAACGCAAACAACGGAATCTGCTTCACATATTATTGGCATTATCTTAACGTTAACACAACATTTTGAAGCACAGCATGCTCAAGAAATAACCAATGAAGCAAATGTGGAATTTTCCATTCCGGCATCAAATCTAGAAGTGGAAGATAATATCTGTAAATCAGTTATCAATCGAAGTGTCGTCAATTTGGAGACTAATTATGCGAAAGCAATAGCATTACAAGAAAATGTTGAATTAATCAATTCACGTAAAGTATTAGCTGAAACGGAGAGTACTTTGAAAGGAATGCATACGGATAGTGTACGTGAAAAAATGAGAGAAACAAATTCGGAAGGTTTTGAAATTTTATCACAATGGACTACTGTTGATCGAGATTTAGAAGCAGAAGTAAGCTTAAAACATAAGCATAACATTGTGAGTAAATTGTCAACAATAGCAATTATCGAAGAAGAAATTTCAATTGATGAAAAATGGATAGCAACGGAATGTAATTTGGAAATATGCAAAAGCAGAAATATCATTGTAAACGAGCATTGTCAATGTAATTTACAAATTGAATTTAATGAGGTGACAATAGAATTGGAAAATTATGAAAAGAAAGAAAATTACGAGATATTATGGAATGATAAAAATTATGATACATTAGACGTAAACGTGTACGAAACAATTTTGGAAAAGTTAAACGCAATAATTAATCTTCATCGTGTATCAAATATTTTACCGAAACAATCAGCAAATGAATATATTTGCCGTGATCAACAATTTCTCGTAGCACTTCCATTATACGTGAAATGTGACGAGAACAAGGATAAAACAAATTATACAATTTTAGAAATTTGTTTGAAACAAAATTTAGTGGAAGAATATATTCAAACAATTCAAACTATGGCTAATTGGATGAAAATGGAAATTTTTGAATGTGAACAAGCTGAGAATGAAAAATTTCATATGGATGTGAAATTGCAAGGAAAACAATTATTAGCATCGTTGGAGGTAGAATTAGTATGGCCTGAAATTAGAAAAGGTGATAAGATGGCTATTGATATGATAGAATATGTGGAAGAACAGATAACAATTTATGCACAAATAGCATGCAAACAAATATCATTTGATGAATTTAACAAAACAATTATCATAAGCCAAAAGTCAGAACCACAAATGCTAATGACAAGTACCACAAAAGAAGAAATTGTAAATGGATACGATGAATTTAGGATAGTACCACAAGAAAAAGCTACTACTTTTGTGATAATTATTGGAAATAAGGGTGAATGCTTATCAGTATGGTTGCAAGAAACCAAACAAAATTTTATCACTATGGGATTTCAGTATAATGAAGAAAGTGAAATGTATGAAACAGAGGGTAATTTTACTGACAAACGTTTTGGTGGTAATTATCAACTGATAACAAAAGCGACAAGAATAGAAGATAGCAATGTTAGCATGATAATGTCACATCGAATTGCAAATGAAGCAATTAATAAAGTTTTCAAAGAGAGCGCCAAAAATTTTGCAACAATGGATATGCTAGCGGCAACATCAAAAGTAATACTGGTAGATATTAATCGAACAAAAGCGCCACAAATGCCACAAATAGCAACAATACAATATTATTGCTCTCGAAGAGGGGAACCAATTAAAAGATATTTTCGAGAAATCAACGAAATTATTCATACTGTACATGCACAGTTTAAAATTAAAGAAGCTTCATTGAAATTTACGATTGCTTGGAGTGTTCCAAATTATGGTGGACATTTTATTTTGAATACAGAAGCTGCAGAGGAAGCATTCATATCTCGTCAAATTGAATATCAAAAAGCTGAAGCATTTGAATGTACAGCAAAAATGCTAAAGCAAATGATAACTCCAATAATTGTACCAGTATTATCAGTACAATCTATCACTGAAGTAATGGAAGAAATTCGAAAAGATTTGATAAGATTATCATTTATCGATGAAGCATTTCTATTGCTTAAAGAAGCTAATAAAGGTATTAATATTGAGGTAAAATTAATTGAAACAACCGATATAAGACAAATTAGCTATTTGCAATTTAAACAAGAAATTGAAGCAATAGAAGTGGAAACGATAATAAAGAAAAACGATTTGGTGGTAAATTAAATCTCATAACGAATGCTTCGGAAGAATACGAAATAAATGCTAAAAGAGAGCTTACAAGTAATCTTATTAGAATTGCACATTGTAATCAATTGATAGCATGCAAAAATTGCTATCCATCACCAATTTCTTATCAATTTATCAACATCAAATCAGATTCTACTGTTGTGCAAATAAATTTACAAAAAATGGAAAGTGTAGATAATATGGATTTTTATCAAAAATTATTATGAAGAAGCTAATGATAATGCAAGAATGTGAAACAATTGCATTAACTGTTAATTTAAATTATATGAAAGAAAGTTCAATGGAAATTTCAGAGATAA